AGTGCCTCATTGGATCTCTCTGCTCTGACTTGGGGAGTGTTGTCTGCATTGCTGTGAATTATTTTGACACTCATTTATACCCTATATTTTCTAAATTAAAACCTGGAATTGTGGGGCATTTTAATCTGCCTTAAGTAAGGCAGTAAGCCTCCACCAGGAAGGTTGGGGAGAAAGGTTAGATTTTATATTCATGTCTTCGTGCATTCTTGTTTTTTTTTTTTTTTAAATTGGAGAGGTTTATGCTCAATCCATGTTCTATTTCGGTGCCAATAAAATTTAGAAAGACTTCAAAAAAAAAAAAAAAGAATCATTTCTTTGGCTCTACAGATGGGAAGAACATGGGCTTATCAACGAAAAGAAGACTAGTCATCAGTAGTGAGTCTGATGATAAGTAGATACAATAAATCGGTTCCACCAGAAGGCCATGCCAGGACAAGGCTGACTTTAGAGACATTTTAATGAACTGAGTAACAGTATTTACATCTCTGTAGGACTTTTTGGCCTACAGACAGCTTTGCAATCATTCTTCATCCTTGTCACAGCCCTAGATTAAACAAAATCTCACAGTGGATGGTGAAAATGCCCACACCTTGGTCTTGAGGGTCGTAGCTACATGCCTTCCATTTCTTCAGGTATTCACTACTACTTACCAAGGCCCCCAGAGCAAGTCAAGTTGTTGTCAGGGGCCAGCACCTGTGACCCACAGTGCTATACTCTGTCACTGCAGGGGGACACGTGTGGGCATACATGTGCCCTGTAGGCAGGGACAATATATGTCCAGGGTAGACTGGCACAAGGTTCTGTGATCTCTGCATGATGGAATACCATACAATGTAATGCTGCACTTACTTCACCTCACCTTTTTTTTTTTTTGTGGTACCGGGGATTGAACTCACCTTATTATAGAAGCCAGAGTACAAAATGCTCCTAGGATATATTAACAAAACAAAATAAAAAAATCACAGTCACAGATACCTATGTCTACACAGAAAAAAAGTGAAAAAAGTCACCCAACAAAGCATTACTAGTTACTTCTACCCACAATTCCCATTAATAATTTGTTGTCACTGATTCCTTTAATTTTGTGGACAAGTAACATAAAGCACTAAATATTTAAAAACTTATCACAGGACTGAGGAGACAGCTTGGTGGTTTGAGCCCTGCCTGGTAAGCGCAAGGACCTAGGTTCGATCCCCAGTACCACATGTCCTACTGGCCCCGGAACCCCGAGCACACTGTGCCAGTCGCCAAAACCAGGAGTGGTGGCACATGCTTATAATCCCAGCTGACAGGGGGATTACTGAGTCCAAGCTGTGTAGTGAGACCCTGTACCAAAAAAATAAATAAAAAGATTTTAAAAATACAAAATAAATAAAAACTTATCACTGTAAACATAGTATGTGTTGAGTTAGTGCCAGCTATCACCTCGGAGAGGACAGCACTGAGCTGAATTCATGTGCCAGACCTCAGTGCTGCACAGAAACCTGCTCGGAATGCTGTCTTCACTAGGTGTCTGTATTTTTTTCCTTTGGGGGAGAAAATGCCCCTGAATACACAATAAAACTATATAACTGTAATATACTTTTCATAAGTTATATAAAATTATGTGACCAATGCTTCTGAAACACTACTTACTTCATCTACTACTGTAATTTTTATACCAGAGAGTTCTACAGCATTCTGTTTTATTATATCCAAAAGTCGTCCAGGGGTTGCTATGATAACCTGCATAAAAGAGACAAGGCAAATTTGAAAATTAGATTATATTCATCCATCCATCCATCCATTCATTCATTCTATTGTTATTAAGTGGCTAATATGTGACACTGTGTTAAGTACTCAAAATTCAATGATGAATTTTGACTAAATCAAACTAAATCAAACATAGTTCCTGCTCTTGGATAACCTGTAATATAGTGCTAATGAGATAAGGATGGTATGCAGTGAAGGTAGGGCTCTGTCCAGCCCTACCTAAAACTGAAGCTCAAATCTAAAGGATTAGACAGAGTGAGCAAAGTGGACAAGGTGAACGACAGAGGCTGAAGCACAGCCTCTGTGGCATTCCTGAGGCAGCGAGGCCAGCAAGGGTCAGGTGATATAGGAGACAGGAAAAGCAGGGCAGGCAGTGGTAGGAGAGGGGCTGTGTGGGCAATTAGATGGCAATCTGACCCTGTGAACAAGTACAAAGTCCGTAACCTCTTTGGATTTGTTATTTCATTTTTAAATTGAGAAGAGATTGGGCATGGTGATTTCTAAGGATGCTCGAGCGTCTCAAGAATTTTATAATATGGTAGCTGAAGGAGTAGCCAAGGCAGGGGTCCTCTGGTCAACTGAACTTCAGTAGAATTCCAAGCTCTACCTTGTAATAATGGTGTGAGACTCTGCCCCCGCCTCTAAAACTGGAAATGACACTAATTAATGTGAAGATTAAATGAGAGTGCCTGGTATAAGACAGAATTACAAATGATCTAATAAATTCAATTGAATTCCACTGTTCAAATATACACTGACAGGACAATAAAACTACTAAAAAAGTTAACATCTTTTATAAGGGTTATAAGATTTTCTGTTCATACAACTTTAAGTATCTGTTTCGGCACTTCAGAAATACCACAAACTTTCAAGTCACATTTATTTATTTATTGGTACTGGAAATTGAGCTCAAGACCTTGTGCTTTCCAGGTAGGCCCTGTGCCACTGAGCTATATACCCAGTCCTTCAAGACACTTTTAATATTTTCAGTTGAGTTTAATTCTTCTCTTTCCTTTTCCCACTTCTGTTGCTTTAAAAATTGTAAACTTTTTTTTGTTCTTGTAGCATTTTCCCTTGAACTTTAACAAGCATATCTAATTTATTTATTTTTATGAATAAAGGACAAGATCTACAGGGTGTACAGGGTCTCACTACATAGATCGGACTTGTAATGATTCTCCTGTTTTCAGCCTCCTGAGCGCTGGGATCACAGGCACTCGCCACCACACCCAGTTTTAATCGCCATCTCAGCATGCCCTGAGGATGGGGCTGACACAGCACACTGGGGATCGAACCCCTGCTGCTGCACTCTGCCAAAGCAGGCACTTCATTGCGCTTAGCTGTCTGGCCAGCCCTAAGTACATATAATTTAATAAACTGTAAAGCTAATTAAAACTTTTACCTTTTTCTAGAGCCAATGCTTTAACATACTCCCTGCAATTACATGCCTCTGTAGTCTAGTATTTTCCACTTTTTAAAATAATTAACTGTTTTTATTCAACGTTTGTTTGGATTTACGAATGAGCTTACTCTTCGCTCACCATGCTTGCTTCCATGCACATCTTCCTTTCTAGGCCTGGGCCAGGGTAGAGCCTAGTGAGGAAGGAAGATTGCTGCATGGAGGGGACAGTGACAACAAAGTGAGAGTGACCCTTTGTAGGAGAATTGTTCAAACCAACAAATACATAAGGAAAAGGGAGCTGCGGGTTTCTCCTTGTCCGAGTTGTGAATATGAAAAATATAAAACAGAAAACCTGAAGCAAATTCCTGCTGTGTTGAATTAGAATTGGAACTCTTAATGTAAACCATGGCCTCAGTCTTCAATAACTATACACACAAAACACACACTGAGATTGGTCTCCCCACTATCTCCAATAAGAGGTCGTAGAAACACTGAGAGCCCAAAAGCAATGAGTATGTATAGTGCTCACATCTTAGTTTCCAAATACTATTCCTTGCCAAAAGAAGGCAAGATTCCTTGGAGGGAGGCATGGTGTCAGGGCTGAGCAAGGGAAAGGATAAGACAAGCACAGAACATCTTCTTTATGCAGGGAAGTAGTCAAAGAACTACGGGGATATGATCTAAGGACACACAGGCCAGCCTGAAGGTGTTTCCATAGGGCAAATCAAGGGCAACTGGAGCATCAAGTCAAATAATAATATGCAAAGATTATAACCCTTTCAACAAAAAAGGAAAACATGAATTCACACTGATATAAATATGTGAATAAATTAAAAGTTTGCTGAAGCACAAAAATTTATATAACACAAAGTCCTTGTCCTAAACATTTACTGAACATAAAAAGGGACAAGTGAACCTTGAAAGTGCTAAAAAGAGAGACTATCACTAGGAAGAAAACAAACAGAAATGTGCCACTGAAAAAGATGCAATGAAGGGCCAGCGAGATAGTTCAGCAGACTAAGCACCTGCTTTGGCAAGCACAGGGACCAAGATTCGATCCCTAGTCCCGCATGCTGTGCCAGCCCCTCCCCTGCGGCATGCTGAGCTGTGTGGCACACACCTGTAATACCAGCACTAGAGAGGGTGAAAACAAGAGGATCACCATGAGTCTGAGGTGCGTAGTGAGACCTTATACCAAATACATAAATGGAAAAAAAAATGCAATGAAAAGTACAAAGCATCTCTTCTGTACTAGTCCTCATCAACTGAGGGATGTTCTTCAAACTAAGCAGCATTCAAATCTTTTTATTTTTTTAAGGAGGAAATCAGAAGACCCACAAAGCACTCCAAATTGGAGAGATGATAATTGACAACTACATGTAATATGTGATTCTGAACTGATACTAATAAAAAAGATGGGAAAACTATAAAAATGGGAATGGGCTCCAAGATATACATGAAAACAATGTTTACTCCTGCTGTATTCCAATGAACCCATGCTCACTTACTGATTCAACAAATGTATTACGGTTATCCAAAACAATGTTCTCCTTATTTTTTTTAAATTTTATTTTATTTTTAAATTTTTTTTATTTTAGTGAGAAATAAATATGAATGAGACAGTTTCAAAGCTGAATAATAGGACAGTTTCAATAATCAATACATAGTACATTGTTATCTTCTTAATGGTTATCCATAGTACAAGAAGCACACAGGATATCCTGTCCAAACACTATTAGTACACCTCTTTCTTCTCATTGAATTAAGCAAAAGTAACTGTATATCTATCCTAACTATTTTGTATATATAAATACAAAATGATCTTTCCTTTGTATCCCCCCCTTTTTTTTAGTCCTGTCAGAGGTGAATATTCTATTGGCATCCAAATATTAAGGTGTTTGAATTCAGCTAAACAATCCAACACTGTCTAGCAGTCTATAATATTAGTGGGATATCCTTAGAAGTTACTAACTTGAGCCTTTTACAGCTCATTGTATTAATATGGCTTTACTTTATATACCTCGTTTTTATACTTTTCTTCTGGGTGGTTAAGACCAATATAAAGCAAGACCTATATAGCAAGAAATGTAACTTTTGTATCTGATAAGGTCAGTCAAGTACCCTCAGGATTTATCCCGTAGCTAGCCCTGTACTGCACTTTGTAGATCCTTTGTCAGTGTTAGCCATGAGGATGAGTCATGGCCATCGCTTGATCAATTTGCTCTCTTGAAAGCCTGAGAGAATGTTTTTTCTCTCTATGTGACTCTCCCCAGGCTCACTATACATCATGGATCACATTCCTCTGTGGCTCCATGATCTTCTTGATCAGAAAATGTGGAGCACAACTGAGTTACATGTTGTTATAGCACAGGTTCTCCTATGTCCCGAGTCTTCACTGACCTCGAAAGGCTAGGGCCAAAATGTTGGCTGACCTTGCAGCCCTTCCTTTTCTCCAATTTTGAACTGCTAACTTAGGCTGTTAACCCTGCAGAAGAGAAGCTTATTATTAATCTGCTATATACACAGTTCGGTTTACCCTATCTGTCTAAATATCAAACATCTTTGGCATATCATGGAACAAGTATTTTCCATCAAAATATTGGTATGTTGAACTGTAAGACCTTACAGAATATGTAGGAAAAATAATTTCATAAAGGTAGAAATAAGTATTTACATAATTTTACAAAGAAATTTAGAAATCTAACCATATACAGAATTGTAACAGGACAGACCTGTGACATTTTTTTTTCTTATTCTTGTGGCTTTTTTTTTTTCATTTATCAGCCTTTAAAAAAAAATCCCGAAGTTCCCCTTAGTAAGAACCATACTCTAAAGCATGTGAGGGTGACAGAGGCACCAAGTCAGCAACTTATTTCCAGGAAGCTAGGGAGAAAAATAATTCTTTATACTGTGCTGCATGAGAGTTTTTAACAAGTGCAAAAACACCAAGTCCAATCTTGAGTTACTAAATGTTGCATGCTGGAGATTACCCCAATGTGTTAACTTATTTAAGAATGGGAATGAAAGAATAGTTATTTCAAGACTGTTAGGATTTGCATATTTACCCATGTGGGAACACAAGAATAGCTGCGAGAAGCTGCGCATACTTATCTCCACTCTAGTCTAGGCAACGAAATAAATTCAATGCACAGGCTCACAGGAGATTGTAGTAAATTCTATTAACCTAATTTCAAATTTGATGCCCATGAAAAATAATTTTAGTACTTACTTTACAAATATATTGTTAAACTTATAATAATTTTATATTAATCAAATCAGCTTTACCTGTTTTATATTTTGGGTGTTCATATTAAAAACCACGGATTCAATATCCCATAATTGTTTAACTTTTAAACCATCCCATTATCAATTTATAGTATCTTACAATTATATTTTGTTTTAAATTTATCAAATACATCTTTTTTTGTATTTAGGACAGGATGCACAAGATATACAGGGTCTTATTGCATATATCGGACTTGTAGTGATCCTCTTGTTTACAGCCTCTCAAGTTCTGGGACTACAGGCACACGCCACCACACCGAGTGTCAATCGCCTCTCACAGCAGGCCAAGGGATTGAACTCCTAGCCCCTGCATCTGCCTAAGCAGGTATCTAATACATCTTATTTGATTTTTACAATAGTCCTCTAAGAAAGCTGATGTTCACCCACAGAAGCTGTTGAATTCTGGACTTGCAGATGGGGCTCAGCAACAGTGCTTACTGAGCACACGCAAAGCCTGTGTTCACTTTGTAGCAGGAGGTGCATGTTGAATACTACAGTAGTGCTCGCCAGCTAGTAAGTCACTGTTGTCCCCTCCTTCCAGAATACCCAACAAACTCTCTGGCACCTCAGCTTCTTCCTTGGGACTCCAGGACCTCCCCACTATCCCAGAAATTAAATGGTTAATGTCCAGAACAGCTCAGGACTCCAGGACCCAGCACTTGCACTAAAGCTAATGCCCACTTTAACTGGTCAGCACCTGTTCTGACCCTTAAGCATGTGGACTTTAAAGGCAACCATTCAGTCAACCATTCAAACTCCAAAACAGCAGGCTCACAGACATGCAGACATACTGCTACCAAGCACCAAAGCCATCAATGCACCATATTCTCAATATCAGAAAATACTGACCACACATAATAGCACAGCAAACAAAGGAAACAGCTCATACATTTTCAGTTTTGGCAACAATCATTTACTGATTACAGATCTTTAGATAAATCCCTGACCAGGGAGATAGCTCAATAGAATAAGCACTTGCCTGGCAAGTGCAAGGGCCTGAGTTCAATCCCTGGCTCCACCAAAAAACAGACAAACAAACAAACAAACAAACAAGTCATTTAGATAAATCCCATCATTCTGAGATTCAACTTAGCCATAAAAGTCAAGATATGCCAACCCCCCAAAAAAAAGATATGCCAACCCACTGATTGGTTAAATGAGATAATGGATATGAACACATAAAACCACATTCAGCATATTATGAGGCACTCACTTAGTGACCCATAATGTGGGAGCCCTTTCCTATATGAAATGAACTTAAAACAATTTAAGGCTTACTCGCCAAGAATTTGAATACTACCCCCTAAAAATCGTACTTCATCCTCAATGGGAAATAAAACAAAACACTAGTTCTTACATGACTTACAAAACGTCTTGAGGTACTCTATCAAACAGGTGCTTACCTTGACATGCTGTCGCAAGCGATAAAGCTGTGGGGGCAAGGGTAAGCCCCCCACAAGTAGCACAGTTTTCATGTGTGGCAGACCACTCATCAGTTCTTTAGCTTGTCTCTCTATCTGAATGGCGAGCTCTCTTGTTGGTGTAAGAATGAGTGCAGATGGAGTTTTGCTCTGCAAAAGGGTAAAAAATAAGTCAGAAACACCATCGGTTAATTCTTGCTGATGTGGACTAAGTCTTCAGTGATTCCAGGAACATTTCTCTTCGAAAGCGTTTCCATGACCCCTGCTAGACACAAGCCCTCACACCTTTTGCTCACTGAATTCAGGTACTTATTTTTCTCCAAAAGCATCATAAATTAATCTCATTTTTTATGTAACACAGATATACAATTAATGACCAACATTGGGACTAGGGAGAGGCGTCCACAGTAACCAAGGTGGGAAATGGAAGGTTTGCTCCCACAAGCAGTAGATCTGAAGTCTCTGCTCACCTCCTCTGAAGAGAAAAACATGACCATCATCATAGGGATCTGGGCAGAGATTGGCACTTGACCTTGGTTTTTCTTTCGTATCTTTTCTGTATATTTATTCTTTACTCTGTCCAAAGAGCTAACTTTTATGCTTTGCGGTAGGGAAGCTTCCATATCCTACTTTTGGTCTTATGGTTCTCCAGTACTTTATTTTTTCTCATTATCTTTTCTGGGGAGGATTTTTAAGACAGGCTCTCGCTATGTAGTTCAGGCTAGCCTTAACGTCACTATGTAACGTAGGCTGGCCAACTCAGGGCAACCCTCCTTCTTCAGCCTCCCAATGCTGGGACTACAGGCGTGCACCACCACACCAAACTCTCTCATTATCTCAGTTTTTCTCCCTTACCTTTCCTCTCTTTTCCATATTTTTATTCCCTTTCTTCTCTGATATGGTTCAGAGACTACAAACTCACCAGTAAAGGTTAGACATTTCCAACCTAAAAACCTGAAATCCAAAATTCTGTGAAACACAAAACACTTTGAACATCAACATGACATTCATGGGGCTGGGGAGATAGCTCAGTGGCATAAGTGCCTGCCTGGCAAGCGCAAGGTCCTGAGTTAAAAAAAAAAGTCCCCAGTACAAAAAAAAAAAAAAAAAAGAGTCATATTTAATATTCTTGTGAACTTATTTTTGGTATATGTGCTGCCAAAGTGAGCACAACTTCCTACTTTGGGATTAGGGATGCTCAACTAATGAAAGTCTATTCAAATACTAAAAAACTGGAAAAACTCCAAAATTTTAAATACTACTGGTCCCTAAGGATTATGTAACCTGTATTGACAAAAAATAATCACTCGAAATATTTAATCAGGGGTTGAGGAGATAGCTCAGCACCGTAAGTGCCTGCCTTGGCAAGTACAAGGTCGTGAGTTCAATCCTCAGTACAAAAAAAAAAAAAATTAGTAAACTAATAATGCATGAAAGTGTTTAACATATTAGAACATGACAAGTAAGGCAATGAAGCATTATTTTTAAGATGAACCACAAATCATAATACTGAAGGGTGTAGTTTGAAATTCTACAACACAGTTAAACTTTGATAAAAAAGTTTCTTCAAAATACAAAATCCAAGGAAGCATAATTGACAAATAAATTGCAACTCATCTAGTCAGCAGAATTGTTTCCAGATCAAACGCTTATTCATTTTATAGAAAATCTGTTTTTAAAAATGTTTTGTAAGGAATATTTTAGACCTTCAGTGAAGAGACCTTTGGGTCAAGACAATAAAAGAAAAATTCTCTAACATTATGTTCTACACTCAACTACTATCAGCAGCAAAAATAAACTGCACCAGTGACTACCAAGGTAGGTATAAACAAATAAAAATATTTGTTCCCAACTTGCAATTTTAACACAGTTGAAGATGAAACATAATAAGTATAGCATTTGTTCCTGAGAATAATGCATGTGGATTCTATCAATTACCTCTGCTAATGCTCTCATGATAACAGGAAGAAGAAAAGCGGCTGTTTTTCCTGAGCCAGTATCTGCGCTGGCCAGAATGTCTCTTCCCAGAAGTCCCACAGGAATCATCTGCATTTGGATGGGGGTTGGCACCTCATAGCCAGACTTCTTCAAGTTATGATTTAAGGCCTCAGGGAAATCACAATGTTCAAAGTCAATGATGGGCCTGGTGACTTCTTGCCCTTGAACTGAAATTCCTAGCTGCTGTTTAAGATGTTCAATCTGGTCCTCCTGAAGGCTTGAAATAAAAGGATGCTGTCTGTAGACATAAAAAGCAGTAAGCGGATACCCTGGCTCAGAACCAGCATTCTGCGGACTGCTGAGATTTAACTTCTCTTCTTTTCCCTTAACTTGGAGAAGATGTTTCGCTTTACACTCCAAGCTACACACATCTTCATCTGTTTTATCACAGATATACTCTCCATAACGGCCACAGACAACACAGACAGGCTCCCCTGGCTCTGCCCAGCGCTGTGTTTTGGAAAAGGACTTCACAGGCTCTTCAAAAGCAGGGCTGGCCTTTTCATTCTGCTCAGGTGCTACCAGGCTGACCTCTGCCACCTGATGAGCTGGACTGGGGAAGGAACCCAATTCCCTACTGGCCTTGACTGGTGGTGTGGCTCTTTCTGGAACTAAGGCATCAGATGCAATACCTCTGTCTTGGTCTAAATGACAGTCTTCTCTTTCTGGCTTAATTTTCTTAGCTACACAACTTCTGACATCTTCATTAGAATTCCTCTTGATTTTTAAAGATCTTGGAACAAACATCCTTCAATATTCTGTTAAGGAAATTATACAATCAGCTATGTTTTATTTCACATTCACATATATAGCAGGTATGTTCATGTGTCCCAGGGCTTCACCTCAAAGGAACAGTGAAGAGATCATGACACCGGTTACACCAAGCTCTTCTCCTGTGTGTTTCCTCTGGTGACCAAGAGTCCTCTTCCTCACATACATAGTAGTGAAACACTGCTCACTACTAACCACAGCCCTGTCCTATCCTGCATCCTGACCATTCGCACTCTGAAGCATCAGATGACAGAAATCCTACAGCATATCCTTCTATTATATTTTCACAAAAGAAAACTGGAGAGAGACTTCATAATTAGAATCTTAAAAGTCAAAACCACAAACTATAGTGAAAAATGCTATTTTTATATAAGTAGCACTTACTGAGTGTTTATTCTGTGCTAAACACTGTGTTTAGGCTTTACCTAATCTTCACAACTATGTGAAACTGGTTAGTACTACCTCATATATGTACACAGATACACATGTATATTATGTATATTACATAGTATAAAATATACATGTCTGTATGTATATATGAGTTTATCTAAGACGACTCTCAGCAGCTAGAAATTATATGTCCAAGGTCACACAACTGTTAAAAAGCCCAAGCACTGACTTCCATGCACATGCTCGACTGACACCAAAATTTCTGAAAAACTAATAGTAATTGGGAAAACTACTTTTAACCTAGTTTGCGACTATCAACTACTCTAATATTTTTTCAAAGATTATTAGGATTATTAAATTATTAGCTCCTGGATTCCATTTACCAGGAAAAAAAAATTCAACAAAAACGCAACAGAGGGCCAAGAATTAGTATCCTACATCAACAATAGTGCCAAAGATTGGCGGGGACGGCCTGCGGGGAGGGGAGAAAGGCTGGCATCTCCGACTCTTCAACTGGAGAAGTAAACATCGCGGGGACAGAGGTGCAGGACGCCCGCCTCCGCCTCGCCGACGCCCCCACCCCGCCCCCGCGCGTTCCCAGACGCTCCCCGACGTCGCCTCCGCACCGGGGGCGCGCACGTCACGGCGCTGTTGGGAGGCGCGGTGGGCGGCGCCGGGTGCAGAGGGAGGCCAGGGACCTCACGACGGAGGGGGGGGCTTCCGGCCGCGGCGGGGTTTCCGAGGTGGGGGTGCGGGACAGCAAAGATCCCTAGCAGCCGGGGCCCGCGCTCGCTCACCCTCACGGACCTCCCTCCGCGTCCGCTCCTTCCCGGCGCTAGGCCGAGCTTCCGGCGGACAAGGCCGATCTGCTTGGAGGGAGCGCGGCCCGCGCTGCGAGTGGAGGCGCGCTCCACCTCCGGGGCTGGGGAGGGGGCCATGGGCGGAGCCTGCTCTGTCCCCGCCCCCTATATATCCCCGCCCCTCGCGCTGCCCGCAGCCCGGGCGGGGTGGAGGCGGGGCCGGGCTGTAGGCCCGGCCTGGTGGACGGACAGACGCACGGAAAGATGACAGCCAGGGGGCGGTGCTGGGCTGGCGCGCGCAGAGTGGGGAGTTTGAGTGTACAGGGGCGGATGAGCGGTTTGCATGGGCCTGTAATCCCTCTTCTGCTTTTAGCTGACAAGGGTAACTTCAGAACAGTGCGCTTAAGATGGCGCGTCTGATAGACTGGATAATGTTTCCACCGCCACGGTCCTCCATCTCAGCACCGAAAGAACCAAACAAAAACCGTATGCAAGTCAGGGTTCTTGTCTCCGTGGCTTGCCTTTTCTCTGCCTCCAGCCTTTGCATCGGCCTTCCAGAAAACTTACGGTTGAGAAGTGATGGGAACCTTGGAGAGGAAGGAAGTTGAGGTGGATGATTTAGGCAAAGGCTGTGTCTGGGGATGTCGTGTTTTAGGGTATTTTTTTGATCAAATATCTGATGCATCCAATATAGTATACTAACAAACATAAAACTTAAAGCATAACTAGTAAAAAAGAAAGTCTGTGAATTCACCCAGATACTGGGCGTAGAAATTTATGTTTCACTGCCAAGGCAAGTGGAAGTTGTCGCTTTTGACTTTGAATGTAGTCCGTATTGTAGCAGATATGATTTTAATGCATTGTACATTTTTTCTTTATCAGTGGAAGGCATATTAAATTTATTGAGTTTCCTGAATATGTAGGTCACAAACCTATAACAGAACTCTTTCCTAGGTTTGTGACATTTGTAATATTCCTTACCAATTGTAAGCAAATATTTGTAAGCCTAAGATAATTGTGTATTTTTTTTTTCAAAGCCGCCTCTGTCTCCAACCATATAAGCTCATGCCCCCTGAAGCCTAGCTCTACCTGGGTAATTACAAAACTAGTTGGTATTTTCGAATCTAGCAGTTAATTGGAAAGAGTCTCACCCAAACTATATATACTGACACCTGTGAACTAAGCAACTGCACTGATAACGACAATTTGTAAGAGTAGGTTCATGCTTGGAGTGCCTGTCATTCTGGTCTTCTAAATACGGGCTGCTTGTCATGACACACCAGTTGCTGCCATGCTGTCTCTTGGGTAGATGATTGTTTAAAAAGGAAGGGATTGGTGAATGAAGGCAGGAGACAGGAAAAGGAGTGTTGCGGGACTGTCCTGAAACAATTGTATATGATTGTATATGGTTAGATTTCTGGACTTAAGTGTAAACATATATAATTCTTTATTCCTATTTTTTAAATATTTTTTGTCATATTCTGTAGGGACTTAAAGTTTAACATGTCAATACTTGATGAAAAAGACCTGTTCCATATTATGCCTAAGGTGTTTGATAGACAGATAGTGAGGTTAAGCTCAGCAGTCTAGGTTATATGGCAATAACAATAAACGTCTCTTCTGGAGGTTTAACAAGTTAAGTTTGCAGACCAAAAATTAGAGAAAAAAAGAGAGCCACAAGGAAAGCCAACATTTTGGCCCTAGCCTTCCAAGGTCAATTAAGACTCAGGACATATGAGAACTTGTACTGTAACATCATGTAACTCAGTTGTGTCCCAGATTTTCTGATCAAGGAGATATGGGGCCAAAGAGGAAAGTGATCGATGATGTAAAGTGTGCCTAAGGAGAGTCACATGGAGAGAAAACATTCTCTCAGGCTTTCACAGAGCAAATTGGCCAAGCAATGGCCATGACTCATCCACATGGCTGACACTGACAAAGAATCTATAATCTGAGGTACAGGGTCTCAGGATAAACCCTGAGGGGATTTGACTGACTTCATGAGATCCAAAAGCTACAATTCTGATTACATAGGTCTTGATTTATCTTGCTTGCCTTTCAGCAGAAAAGTATAAAAACAAAGTACAAGAAATAAAGTCATGGTGTTATGTTGAGTTGTAGGGGACTCAGGTCAACAACTTCTGACATTGTCAGTCAAGTGGAAGACCCAATACTATTATGGACTACTGGACTATTTTGGAATATTTTGCTGAGCTCGCACACCTATAATACTTAAATGATGAAACTAAACAAAGAAGGGGGTATAGATGAATGTCCATTGTGTATCTGTGTATTCAAAATGGTTAGGATAGATATATAGCTACATTCTCTTAATTCAAGGAATAGAGGGATTTGTTCTAATAGTGTTTGTAAATAGGATATCATTTCTGCATCTTGTACAACAAACAACCACTAGGAAGGCAGTATGCAATGTATTAATTATTGGAACCATCCTACCAATTTGATTTGAAGCTGTCTCATTGCTATTTATTTCTCAATAAAATTAGGGAAAAAATAAAATAAATAAATAAAATGAATGTTTCAGAGGCTAGCCACATAGCTGAGGAAAAGTGTGTTGATAGGATTGTAATCACAAAAAGGAAGAGCTGCAGAGACAATGTGGGAACGCACAAGTTCTAAATGTATACCATTCCTAATGCCATAGCAATTATTATTATACTCTCTTAAATTTTTTAAAAGGTACAAAAAGAAAAAGACAGGAACAAAAATTTAAGGTTTCTTGAAAGCAAGCGGTAATATTCAATCATATGTCCAATCTTACAGAACTATATCTGTTAATCTGAGCAACAGATTTGACAATAAAAATAGATATCGACTATTGTTAATCAACTATTCTTGTTTTGAAAATCTGTAACATATGTATTGTTGTATGTTACCCTGTTTCTGTCTTTGTTTCTGATTTTTGTTCTGCCTTTTGTTTTTACTCTTCAAAATAAGGTAAAATAAAATAAAATAACTACTTGGTAAACACATTCTTGTCCACTTTGGTATGTGTGCCCAAATCTTGTTTGAACGTTGGAGTAGCACTATTGGACTTGAAGGTAAGAAGGTATTGAACTTGACAAAATTACTCCAGCTGATTTCATGGTGACTGCACCAATCTCTGCTGGCACCAGCATTGGTTGCTTTTGGTCTCATTCTCTAATCCTTGCCATAGTTGCCAAGAAGGAGTAGGTACTGTATAATGCCCTTAATTTGTATTTCCTAATTAATGATAAAGGTTGAGCCTTTTGTTTCACAGGTTGCTCATTCATTCACTTTGGAGGACCACCTGGGGGACTGTCCTTGAAAGAATAATTGTCTCTGTTTTGGCTAAACCTGGCTCTATTTCCATGCATTGATATGTCCAGAACTGGCTAGGACTTTTCCTTATCCTTCCAACTGGCTTTAAACTGCACAAATCAGTCCAGCCAAGGTACTGATGACGTTTAAACGTTGAAGCAAGGTGACAGGGCAGTGTTACCCAACCCTGTTAACTCTCCCAAAACGTGTGGTCCAGGTAGGAAGGAGAACCATACTCTACGCTGTCAGGCTGTGACTTCCTAGAGCAGAAAGCATTACATCAGAGCTGGAGCACCAGCCCCAAACATTATGTACTATCTCAGTTGTGTTATGCTGGTTACTCTTTCTGAATTTCCTTCTCTCTGTATTGCAGAGGTGATTCCAGGACCTCCAGCTAGCCCAGCTCGTAGTGCTCACCTACTTGCCACCATTCTCAGTCCCTCATCCTCAAGCCACTCCCTTCTTCAGAAATTAATAAAATCTGGATTCAGCCCTGGGTTGAGGCCTTTGTTCCAGTCACCCATCATCATGCTTAGACTTCAGACCCCTTTGGCTCCCATAACTGCACATATGTCTTAACAGTTTATTCTTGCCATGGGTTGCACTGGAAGTAGTAGGGGAATTAGCTCACTAGAATTTCAAAATAATTTCTCTGTGGGATTAGAAATACAAAATTTCTGGACTGTGACAAGGACTGGGAAGGGTTCTGTATAATTCATGTGTCCTCTCCCCCATAAGGATTTTGAAGTACCTATTTTTATACCAGTCTATTGTCAGTTATAGGTATTGTAAAGACCTTTTTTCTATAATATGTACTTTCCATTTTTTTCATTGTATTTTTGCAAGCAGTTGAGTTAAAAACATTATAGGCAATCAGATAGGGCTTGGCCCTCAAAGGAGATAACAAAAAAGACAAGATACCTTACAACTGTAAGAGGGATGAATGCTCCTGCTGTGGGCCAGACCTAGAGACCAAAGATCGAACAAATGCTTACCTCCCTAAAGATCAGCACCTGGGATTGATCATCACCCTGAGGAAGTCAGAAAGAATCACTAATCTGACTACTACCAGCTAGCTACAGGACAAAGTCCTGTTCTATATTCGTGCCCACTTGCTATGTGACTCACTTCCCCATTTGGTCCTGGACTTAGTCGATTTTACCTGCACAATGGTGCTTGTAATCTCATTGGTTGACATACTTTTGTCCCACCTCATGACCACCTAAGCGACTTCCCATGTTCACCTTACACCCGCATGGTTTTACTCTATAAATTTCCCTGGACATGACAGGTTCCCGGGGACCACCTACTCAGGGCCCCCCTCCTGTCTCTCGGACAGGAGCTTTCTTTCCTTCA